CTACACTGCAGTCACATTACCTTCCCTCTCCCACTCTGCACCTATGGCCTCATGGGGAGTTCCTTATGATCAGTTGACTGAGGAAGAGATAAGTCGTGCCTGATTTACAGATGGTTCTGTGTGATGTGAAGGCACCACTCGAAAGTGGACATCAGCAGCACTGCAGCCCCTTTCTGGAACTTCTCTGAAGGGTAGTGGTGAAGGGAAACCCTCCCAATGGGCAGAACTTCAAGCTGTGCATATGGCTGTTCACTTTGCATTAAATAAGAACTGGCCAGATGTGCGATTATATATGGATTCATGGGCTGTGGCTACTGGCCTGGCTGAATGGTCTGGGACTTGAAAGGAGCATGATTAGAAAATTGGTGATAAGGACGTATGGGGAAGAGGTACGTGGATAGAGCTCTGTGAATGGGCCAAAGGAATAAAGATATTTGTATCTCATGTGAATGCCCACCAAAAGGTGACCTCAGCAGAGAAGGACTTTAACAATCAGGTAGATAGGATGACACATTCAGTGGAAACCTGCCATCCCTTTTCCACAGCTATTCCTGTCATTGCTCAATAGGCTCATGGACAAAGTGGCCATGGTGGCAGGGTTGGAGATTATGCATGGGTTCAGCAACGTGGACTTCCACTTACCAAGGATGATTTGGCTACCGCCACTGTTGAGTGCCCAATCTGCCAGCAACAGAGACCAACACTGAGTCTGCAATATGGAACCATTCCTTGGGGTGATCAGCCAGCAACGTGGTGGCAGGTTGATTACATTGGACCACTTCCATCATAGAAAGGACAGCATTTTGTTCTTACTGGAATAGATACTTACTCTGGATATGGATTCGCCTTCCCTGCATTCAATGCTTCTGCTAAAACTACCATCTGTGGACTTACAGAATGCCTCATCCACCATCATGGTATCCCACACAGCATTGCTTCAGATCAAGGGACTAACTTCACAGCCAATGAAGTGCAGCAATGGGCCTATCCTCACAGAATTCACTGGTCTTACCATGTACCCCATCATCCTGAAGCAGCTGGCTTGATAGAACGATGGAATGGCCTACTGAAAACACAATTACGGCACCAGCTAGGTGGAAATACCTTGAAGCGTTGGGGCAATGTTCTCCAGTAATCTGTATATGCTCTAAATCAATGTCCAATATATGGTTCTGTTTTTCCAATAGCCAGGATTCATAGGTCCAGGAACCAAGGGGTGGAAATGGGAGTGGTACTCACTATTACCCCTAGTGACCCACTCAAAAAAGTTTTGCTTCCTGTCCCTGCTACCCTATGCTCTGCATGTCTGGAGATCTTATTTCCTGAAGAAGGAACATTCCCACCTGGAGACACAATACTGATTGTATTGAACTGGAAATTAAGAATGCCACCCAGCCATTTTGGCTTCCTCATGACTCTGGATCAACAGACAAAGAAGGACATTACTGTACTATCTGGTGTGGTAGATCCTGATTACCAAGAGGAAATTGGGTTGACATTACATAATGGAGGTAAAGAAGAATATGTCTGGAATACAGGAGATTCTTTAGGACGTCTCTTAGTACTACCATGCACTGTGATTAAAGTCAATGGAAAATTATAGCAACCCAATTCTGATATGACTGCTAATGGCCCAGATCCTTCAGGAATGAAGGTTTGGGCCACCCCACCAGGCAAAGAATCACAACCAGCTGAGGTGCTTGCTGAGGGCAAGGGAAATACAGAATGGGTGGTAGAAGAAGGTAGTTCTGAATATCAGCTACGACCATGTGACCAGTTGCAGAAATGAGGACTGTGCTTGTTATATTTCTTCATTGTATATGTGCATCAAATATTTTTGTTTCCCTCTGTTATGAACTGTGAAATGTAAATAAGGTTAATGCATTTCAATTGTACATGTGTTAGCATATCATGTTAGGCGCAAATATGACTTTATAATTGTCCTTATTTAGAGACTATATATGGTTAAGAAGATGTGTACAACTGACAAGTTGACAAGGGGTGGACTGTGATAGTTGGAGCTGTGTGTCAACTTGGCTGGACCACAATTCTGTGTGGTTTAAGCAATTGTGATGTGGGTTGTTCCAATGATGGGATCAGATGTATATGTTTTGAGCAGCCAATCCGTTGAAAGAGAGTTTCCCGGGGTGTGGCCTGCTTCCAGTGTATTTATGGACATCCTGGGAAAAGAGACACTTTTCTGTGGATTGGGATTCTGTTGTGCTGCCTACAGCTGTCCATGCGTGAATAATCCACCATTCGGCCTGGAGATCTTGGATTCATCACTGTTGGAGTCAATAGCCAGTATACTGCCTGCCAACCTTGAGCTTGTCAGCCCCTGCAGCTGCATGAGTCGGGAAAAACCTCCAGCTTGATATTTGATCCAAGAACTTTGGACTTGCCAGCTTCTATAAGTGTGTAAGCCATTTTCCTAAGATAAATATCTCTTTCTCTATATATATGCTTTACTGGTTTTGCTTCTCTAGAGAACCCAGTCTAACACACCTACTCATACCTGATCTTTTTGTTTGTCTACCTGTGTATCCACCTGTAGATTAGTGTTTGTTATTATTGATAATGTAGTATTATTTATGTAATAGTATTTGCTTTTATTATCCAGATCTCTTATACACCTCTCTGTGTCCTCTTTTTCCTTAGTGACATTGTGCTGGTCACATGCTTTTTTTAATATTGCCTTTTCCTTTACCCAAATCAACAACGTCTCATAACTAGGTAGCACTAGATAAATGAAGCTTGTCACTTGGTGTGTCATCGAAAATCATTTATTTTAATTTTTTTAAGTGTAGAAAATCATTTAAATACTTTCTTTCATAGCATATATTAGCTTTGTAGTTTGCTTTGTATTGTTTTTCACTTTTCTCTTAGGTCCTCTGACTCTACTCCAAACTATTAGAAAAACACCTGGGTGGGTCTGGATTGTCTTCTTGGAGGGATTCTAGAACATAACTGTCAGATGAAGAATGAAAATGTCTTCGGGGACAATATAAGGCGATGGAAAGTACTCCTAAGAGGATCGAGGACCTACGAACCAAGGGGTAAGGAAAAGTCAAACTTCATCAAAACCCTTCCCCATTGTGAAATCCCTGTACTCAATAAACTTCTCTTTTCTTATTTTGCAATGGCTTGTCCTACTGGAAAACCGCAAACCCTACTCCGCATACCCTCCCTTCTCCTGGTCCCATTATCCTTTGTCCCTCCTACTCTCTGCTTTCTGGTCTACAAGCTCTAAAATCTCGTTTCACGTCAGGCCAAAGAATAATCTGCTTCTATAAACTCACTAGCTTCTCCTCCTTTCCTGGGGCCAGCAAATAGTAGGACTCCATCTTGGGTGGATTATTACTGTGGTGATCAGCTCCTGCACTCGAGGTTCATCTAGTTAACACGCTAGGCATTTCTTTTGCACACTATGATTGTGCAGACTTGTTATGAGAACGCTGAAGTGTCCCGACAGAGCCTGGGGGTGCACGGGAGAGCGAGCTGTGGTTGCCACGGCAACGGGAGGAGGAAGATATTTTACAGATTAGGGTATGATTCCGTCAGAAGTAGCCAGTGTTAAGGGCTAAGGAGAGCATAGCGCTCCCTAGAGGGTATGTATATTAAAATGTCTAAGGCGGTCCTATGGTATCACGTGTCCTCACCCTACCAATTGAAAATTAATAATCGCTTCCTCTGTTCCCCTTGGAAACAACCCCGCCCCACTGACCTTCCTGCCCCATTCAGTAGAGTGATTTTGGGATTTTATTGAGTGTTCAAATTGACAATCAAATGTCTGAGCTTTTTGACTGGACACTTTGTTTCCGCTAAGAAATACGGTACACTGATTGGTCAATAGAGTAATGACTGGCAGTCGTTAGTCCAATGACCCCTACCTGAGGCGGGGTTTAGTGTGTATGTAGGGCCAATCAGCGGCGGCGTTGCTTTTGCGGCTCCACGTCTGCACCAGCTGCGGGGCAAGATGGAGGCGCTGATTTTGGTAGGAGCCGGAGGGGCAACGGAGATGCTGCAGTGTCCATAGGGGCCGGGAATCGGGGTTCAGCCCGACTAAGAGGGAGGAGAAGAGGGGCTTCCGGGTTGTTCTCGGGAGCCGAAGGTTCTGCTGCTCTGGAATAAGTGTATGGCCTACTGCAGGAGCTAAAGCCTCGGATTAGAGTAGGGAGCCTTGCCGGAGAGAAAGCATGGAGTTGGTTTAAAGTTGAGGGGAGCACTTGGAGTCCCTAAGATTATAGAATTATAATCGTACTGGGTTGAGGTCCTTCAGGTTCCCTCTAATTCTTAGAATCTCCTCCTAATTTGTGTTTCCTCAAATTTCTAAATTGGCCCCAAATTTTTAGACCAAAGTGTAGGTGATTTTTCTTCTCCTGGTTATTGCCAGAGTTTGATTCTTCATAATCCCTTGACACATTCCTTCAAAAACGTTTTTTGTCCTTACAGCCGTTCCCCATTAATCCCTTTAACATATATTTGTCATGATGAAGAATCACTGTTCCATCAAAATTCTGGAATATGATACAGTTAGCATAGATTGTGCACTATTTTTCCAGACTCCTCATTCTTTTCTTACTTTCCCTCCCTATTTAGACTTTAGGAACTGTTACTGTAGGATCTGAAATACTCTTCCTCTTCTGGAAATAGGAGATTTGGGTGGCTAAAAGGGTGTATTAGCACTTTGGTCCGTAAGATCCTTTTTGTTTATTCAAATGAATAAATTCTTTAGTTGAATTGAATTACAGATCTCTTTCAAGAGAAGCTTTTCTTATCTTTTCCTTTGACCTAATACACATATACCTCTACTCCTCATCAGATGAAAAGGAGTAACAGGTTTCATTTCCCCTCTTTCAAAATGTCAAGGATAGAGATAATTTCTTCTCATCATACGGGTTGGCCAAGTATAGGTAGAAAACATAAATTACAGATAGTTTTTAATATTTTCTGTTTTCAGGCAGTTAGCCAGTATTATTAACCAGTTAACAGAGTAAGATAGATGCTAGGGAATTGGTTTCTTTGAAGATTCTTAGAAAATTTTAGACTCCCCTACTTTTTAGAAGGAAGCCTGCTTGGAGGTAAAGTAGTGAGGAATATAGTTTTTGGGGAGCCTTTTTAACAAAGCATCTGGGTCTGTGTGTGTAATACTGAATTGAGGGAGTTCTGTATGAAAGTCTTTATCACCTTTTCTCTTACCTCAGTTCTGTTCTTGCTTTCTCAGTGAAGTCTCTTTCAACCTACTTCTTTCTTACATCCAATTAAATGCCTAAGATGCTACATTCAGAGTAGGCCTGCTGACTTGGTCAGGTATTCCTGAACTTTGGTTTAGAAACTATGTTGTAGTCGATTCTGACTCATGGTAACCTTATATGTGTTAGAATGGATAATGATTCTTTATCATGAGGAACCTGTGGGAAAGTATAGAGAAGGGCTTGCTTAAAAAAGCACAATGTCAAAACTAGGATTGGATTTTTTATTTCCTCAGCTTCTTAGAACAATTCTCTCTCTGATGTCACTGAGTTTCTCTCATCGTGGGCTTTCCACCTCTTTATGCAAAATTGTCCTTTCAGACATCAGTAAAATAAACTGGGGACATAGTACCAATAAGTATCACTTCCTCTACTGTACTGATCCCCAGAGCGCTTAGGATATGAAATGTAATTTTCTTCCTCTTGAGTTAGCTCTTTCCAACATTTTTTTTTCTTTTTGCATTTTAGTTTATTTTGGTACCCCAATTAAAAATTGCTCCATCCTTCTAGCTTTTCTCAGCTGGAGTCTCAGAGAATTAAGCCCTGATACCCTAAGGCATCTATTGTAAGATGAATTAGCTTCTTTCTCTGCATCTAGAATGGTGTTAGTTATGTACCATCCTTGGAAGAAATGAAAAAAATAGTTAAATAATTTTCTGTGTTCTGTGCTTCAAATAGGCGCTCTGGTGGCGTAGTGCCTAAGGCATTTGACTGCTAACCAGAAGGCTGGAGGTTCAAACCCACCAGCCACTCCGCGGAAGGAAGACTGGGCAGTCTACTTCTGTAGAGATACTGCCTCCGAAGCTCAAGGAGGAGGGGCTGCTAATGAGTCAAAATCGACTTGATGGCAGTGAGTTTAGTTTGTTTTTTTTTCTTCCCTTGGTGCTTCAGTTGAGGAACCCTAGTTGAGAGCTGGGTGATATTTCCTAAATCTCTTGTTTCTTATCTCACTACCTTCATATATTAGCCCACCAAATTTAGCTCCATTTTATTAAGAAACATGCTTCTTCACTGCTCCTTTTTATCTCATCCCCTCCTCCTTTATCTTACCCCTCTGAACTGTCTACTCGGCAGTATCTCCTGATTTTTTGTCTTGATTATGAAAAGAATGAGGAATCTCTGGATCTCACCTTAGTGTTTTACTAGACTACAGAGTTTACCTGGATAGTATTTAACAAGCTACTCCTTAGAACAGTTCCTAACAAAGTTCCTTCCTTTCACATTTTATTTCCTGGTTCGGTTAGACTTCTGGAGGAACCTGATCAGATCCTGTTCTTCTGTCCTCACTTTACCTCTGCAGGGCACACGGAGAGGAAGGAAGGATAAACTAGAGATGGTCTGTTCAAAATTTGCTCTGATCATGGGAATTTCTACTTTTTAAAATTTATTAATATTTTTTATTTTTGCAGTGTTTCCTCCTCTCCCCTTGATTATGGGAATATCTAAATACCAAAATGTTCCCTTTATTTAGGTACTTTAAAATGGGTCACATTTCTTTTTTGAATTAAGTAATTCAGGAGGAACTCTGGTGGCGTAGTGGTTAAAACATTTGTCTGCTAACGAAGAGGTCGGTGGTTCAAACCCATGAGCCACTCCATGGAAGAAAGATGAGGCAGTCTTCTTCCATAAAGATTTATAGCCTTGGCAACCCTATCGGCAGTTCTGTTCTGTCCTATAGGGTTGTTATGAGTTAAAATCAACTTGATGACAGTGGGTTTTTTTTTTTTTTTCCTTTTGACCTAGGTTCCAAGCTGATTTGTCTGATCATTCTCATGTCTCCTTGTAGTATCTAAGGAAAGAGATTCTTATCTCTCTCAGTTCCCAGTGTTTAATAATAGTGCTCCCAGCCTGCATTTATGGATTTGGTGTCCTCTCTTATGCTGTTTCTTCTGCTGATTCTCCTTTTTCAGTTTTGAATGGAGAGGGATCTCAGTAGGTCACTGTTCCCCATTAATAACACATGGGATCTTAAAGATCAATGACTTAATCTCCTTCCCTCTTTCCCCCTTTTTCTTTAAGACAGAATTACTCTAGTAGATCCTTAAATCTTTCCTCATTGGTTTTATTTTCCCTAGTCCTCTCTGGATAAGGAGCACTGGTGGCACAGTGGTTAAGCATTTTGGTCGTTTGAACCCATCAGGTGCACTTTGCAGGAGAAAAGACTTGGCCATCTGCTCCTGCAAAGAATACAACCTGGGAAACCCTATGGGGCAGTTTGACTCTGTCACATCAGTTGCTGTGAGTTGGAATCCACTCGATGGCATACAACAACAGCAGTCCTCTCTGGATTCACTTTCTTGGGCTTTTCCAGTGCTTGACAGACTAGACCTCTGATTCTATCCTTTCCTCTTAATAACATTTTGATCCTAAAACAATGTCCAAATATGAAATTCTAAGCCTCATTCAAAAATCAGGACATCCAAAGTGCTTATGGTATGTAAATACATGGAAGAGGAAACTATGTAGAATATATTAGTGACTCTTAAAGGTTGATGGTGCTCCAAGGCCTTTGCCTCCTGAATCATCTTAATGGGGCTTTTGTTAAATTCCTTTGGCACTAACAGTAGAGGTACTTGGCCTAAATGCCCCCTCCCCCTGCTCTAGGCAAAGGTATCAATTACATTAAGCCCCCAAAGCACTCCCATCTCGTTCCTGGCAGTCCCCTGTGCCCCTCTCCCAGCTGCGTCCTTGCTGGTGCCTGGCCCCTTCATTTCGTTAGGAGAAGCAATCTTGTTCCTGCACTGTGGAGATATATTTCTCAGCTAGGGCGCAAGCAGTGCCAGCACTGCCCCCGGTGAGGTCCCTGGCAGCCATAAAAATTTTTATTGTGATTATGTTGGTGTCGGGGTGTCCATCTGGGTTATTGCACACCTAGTTTAATTGATTGAAGTTTAATTTATTGACACTTCAAATTAAATGATCAGAATAAACTGTGCTGTTACTCTGGCCGGCTTGTTTTAATGGTTGATTGCTGGAAGCAGACCTCGGCTTGAACTAAAACCCCCAAAGAGCAATTGACGCTGCTTCTAACTCTCCCCATGTCTTGCCCTCCAAGAAGACCTCGTTATAGATTTCCGACGTATTTATATATGTTTTTTCCCTCTCCTTCACAGTGGTGGGAAAAAGTTGGTCCCTGGCAAGGTATAAATTATATCAAAGGTCTAGGGGAGCTGTCACATGGTCAAAAGAGGCGGAGGGCCTCTATGTGAAGAAAGCCAGACCCTTGAGAAGTCAGGTCTTCCTTCCCTGGGAGGTAGGGGATGAATGCAGTTATCCAGATATTTGAGGGAGCGAAGTGACTTTATGGCAGATTTAAGGTCTTTTTCCTCTAGATATACTTGCTACTGTTTTTCACTTTGTCACCATGACTTGGTTCGAACACTAGTGGTAGAAAGAACTAGAGGAGGCAAAGGATGGAATAAGAAGAAAGAATCAGTGCCTGCCTAACCACTTACGCTGGAGGATTTAGGAAAAGGAGGCAGAATGTTGATAAAGATGAATGGGAGGCTGAGTCCATGCACATTATAAGATGCTCACACTGGCAAGGGCCCTCTTCACAATGTTCTGGCCTGCCTCCTCCAGTTCTGGGCACATTAGGCTTTCTCTCAAATTGGGTTGATTAGAGAGAGCGCTCCTGTCCTTAGATTTCCTAGACTCTGTTATGTCTTCTGGTATTTTACATCCCTCCTCCCCCAGATTTCTTCAGGAAGTCCTTCCTGTTGTATGACTGAAGTCATATATG